GTGTGTGTGTGTGTGTGTGTGTGTGTGTGTGTGTGTGTGTGTGTGTGTATTTAAAATACAAATCATAAATTAAATGAAAAGCCTGAAAATTATTTAATGGTAAAAGTATTTCAGTTTTTATCACATCAGTTCATCTTTTAAATTACCTATTACAGTGGATGACATATGATTCATATTAAGGTGTCTGTAGGTTCCTGTTATGAGTAGGACTGTCCAAATACTAGTTTTGCTCAAACCAGATACTTCAGTTAGGGTACTTGTCGATGTCAAGTACCTAAACACATTTATTTTGTTTAGAAACTAGTACTAAATCAGATACATATCTGATGTTTGTCAAAGTAACCTCAGTCTTAACACACTTCGCATTTCGTCCGACTTTTGCATGGAGGTATAAGAATCAATACAAGTGATAATAATTATAATAATCTTGAGTCATGCAGTTTAAATCTTGTAGCTCCACCCGTCTTCAGCTACAGAACAGAAGTCCAGTTGCTTCATCTTTTTTTTTTTTAATTTTCCATGTCCTGGATGACTGAGGGCGTATTCACACCTGCACTGTTTAGTCCGGCTTAATCAAGCTCCAGTTCGTTTGCCTGGAAATTCCAGTTCATTTGTGGAGGTGTGAATGCGTCTCTGATTCGGACCAAAAAAGCGAACTCTGGTCAGCCTGAAAACCTAGGTCTCGGTTCAATTGAAACGAACTCTGGTGCGGTTTGATTGCATGTGTGAACGCTAAGCGGACCAGAGACCACTCCAAAAGCAGGAAGCGGACTATACCGGATGACATTCTGAGTAATAACATTATTAAATTTACTTATATGGTGTAAATACCTCGCTGGACGACTGTATAAGGTGGACATCATGACTGTGGAGCTGGATGCGCTCCTACTCGATTAACATGGAGCTTCCTCACCCGCCTTGTGTGCAAAACAACATTCTCCGTGGTTCCGCCTCATCTTCCTCTCATGCTGAGCTCATTGTTGAAGACTATTTCTTTAGCACATTTGCCAAAAACAAACCCTGTAACCACTAAAATGTAACGCAGGGTTTCCCCTACATGTAAATGATCGTGGCGCACCGCCATGGCTAAGTAAATGCCGCCACACCTTCGGAATGAAGTTTTTTTTTAATCAACGTAAAACAGGTTGATGCAATCATTGTTTAGTTTGTCCGAGACAACCTATTTTTGTTTTGGACAACCAGATCCCGCCTCCCAGTTGTCCGGTGGACAACCAAGAAAAAAAAACTGAATTAAAGTTTTCCTCCGCATGTGTTCATCATTGTAAAAATGAACGGGAGAGAAAGAAACTTGTTAAAGCTGTCTAGGGATTAAACTGACTGTTCTTTCACCCAATAAAGAGAACCAAAGTCAAAGTTTTAACCAATCAGAACAGAGCAGGGCGAGTCGTACCATCTGACTGACAGCGCTGCCTTTTTCCTCTCTCTGCGATGGAGGGTCAGCTCGGCTCAGGCGAACATGTCCCAGGAAAGCCCTCAGCGTTTCCTCTACTATTTCCACCGAGGATTACGTTGTATTTTATATATATATGTATATATTATATTCCTAAAAGCAGCTCACAGCATTTCTACCCGAACACCGTGTGTTCACGGCTCGAGCACCACAAAACTGCGACAGATCACCTGACTGTTTTTAAAGCGAGGGCTCAGGGAGGCAGCTTGACCAGCAGCTGCACCTCTCCACATGCATCGCGGCTCCGACCAGCCCGGGACTTTAAAGTCCATATGTCAACCCCTTTAGACGGTTACTTGTATAATGAGCATCAAAAATCTGTAATTTGCGCAAGAAAATCTGTATTAATCACACGCGGATGGAGTGGAGGTGCAAGCGTACCGCAGCTGTGCAGGGTGGGGAGGAGGAGGAGGAGGGTGGGGGGGTGTCTTTTAAAGACGTGTCTACGTTTGACTACGTTTGACAGTGCGCGCTGCGCTGCGGCTTCTGAATAAATGAAAATGATTTAACACAGTTGTTTATACTTTTAGC